AGATACATGAAAGACGATTATAAGATTTTGATTGACAAACCAAATACATGCAGGTTAGTAGAGAAAGACTTCTTCTATCTAATGATGTATGTATCATCAAGTTTTATTGTGTACCGAATTTTAGCAGTTTGCAATAGAACTTAATAATACATACACCGTTAGATATCGAAAATCTTCCTCTACTAACCTACATAGACTTCGTTCTGGGTTCAAAGATCACTGTGACACTTATATTCGCCATTGCCTTTTTGGAGCTTGAAAATTCAATATATCTTGAACGAAGGCTAGTGCGCCCGAAATATTTTGAGATTTTTCAAGACTCATCGAGACCTGTCAACTGACCAAAATATCAGTTCAAAAGCACTCTGGCAGTTGAAGGTTAGTGGCTGCATTCGACAGATACTTTCACAGTCATAGCACAGTTTTCAAACTGTTATTTTATATGAAAAAGTATGCTATTTAGTTTCTTTCACAAACAACTGCTAAAAAAAGAAATCATCTTCAATTCCATAAAAACATAAGTGAGTCAGAATTCATTTGGCATCTGTTTGTTTCTCAAAACTCGATTAATTTTGCTAAGTATACGTTTGCTTGTTGCTAATGATACTAGAATAGAACGGTTGTTGGTGCCAAACATATAATTGCGGATATATACATAAATGCTTTTTCCGTCATGATAACACATGTTAACGTTTTGTAAAATTCATTTTCTTCTTTGTGTAATTAATTACTTCATCATCATCATGTGTAGATAAGTTTTCCAGTTCTGTGACTTGTTCTCAAGTATAATGAATTATTCAGTCATGATCAAACCGGTTTTCACTCCTATACTTTGATATAAATTAGCAGTTTGAAGACGTAAGAGTATTTTGAAATGGCGAGATCTTATTAATTGCCCAGTATGATCTTATATCCGAACCTGAACCAGACCGGGTGGCAGGACACGACTGAGGACCTTCCTTCGTTAGTAGCATTTGCATTTCATATAATGTTATTCAAAATTCTTATGAACTAATATTACAACTCCATAGAAAACAGTTTAAATAACGAGAGAACCTTCTCAAATATTCGCTTTCCATTTCAACGACTTTTTACCTATCAATATTACATAGTGTTCTAATAACAATCCGAAAAAGATTTGGGTTCCTATTGAGATTTGACTAAACTATCGAATTTTTTTCAAGAGCCCCAGGTTTCCAAAAAACTCGTATTTTCGAATTTTGATGTGAAACTTTGCGCATAAAGAGAACTCAACTAGACTAGTTTCCATAAAAAAAACTCAGAAGCTTTCAACAAAGTCTTTTTGAGATACAAAGCCTTTTCCATGGATGGTGTATACAACATGCATTTTTTGAAAGCTTCATATATAGAAGAGACTTTGTTGAAAACTGAATTTTTTAAGGAAGTTAGTCTAGCTTACTTCTCTATATGTGCAAAATTTCAGATCAAAATGCCTGAAATATAAGTTTTCGAAAATCTATGACCTCTAGAAAAAGATTCACTAACTTAGTCATATCTCAATAGAAACCCAAATCATTTTTGGATTTTTATTAGATTACTATGTAGTATCGATGAGCAAAAAATCATTGAAATGTGAAGAGAGCATCTGAAGAAGTTATTTCGTAAGTGATTATATAAAGGCAATATATACACAAACTATTTTTCTAATATATTTAGTCTTCATCTTCTCCTTCGTCAATAGCCGATGTTGATTTATCGGTCGATGATGAATCAAATCAAAAAAATTTAACAACATCAGAAGATTGGTGGCGTCAAGGTTTTATTTTATTTTTCTAAATTCAATTTTTTCTATTCAATGTTATTTTTCTTTTAGCAATTGAACCAATACCAACAAAAACAATTTCTATATCTCATTCAGCATTTAGTATGAATGATGATGATATATCAAATGATACAAGTCAATTATTTTCTCTATTACCATCATTTAATTCAACACAAAGAATAATTGTACATAATCAATTATTGACTACTTTAACACAAATCTATTCTGATAAAGCACTTGATTATGTTAAACAATGGTATGAACATCATTCAGTACCAAATTTAAATATTTTAATAAAACGTGGTTTATTAAAAATTTATAAAGAAAAATCAATTCGAATGACAATTAATAATGTAAATTATATTTATTTATTTTTCTTTTCATGATTGTTTTTTTTCTGTTATTTAAAGAAAAAAGAAATCTTTGGACAATTAGATAAAAATGGTAAAATTATATCAACATTTGATAATCGATTATTTGATTCAATTGAACATTTTTATCAAACATATCAATCACGTCGTAAAAGAAATGAAAATTTAGCAATTATTTATGAATCCGTATATTGGTATGATCAATCATTTCATTCAATATTACTTGAATATGCTGAAACAATGTAAAGTAGTACAATTAATCTTTTCGTTTGTTTTAATTTTTGTAAAATTTAGTGTAAAAATTTCTGGTATGAAAACTCGATTAATAACGGATGATGAACTTCTATCAAATAATTCATCAATTGATATCTTGCCAAAAGAAATTCTTTGTCAAATTAATTGTTGGAATGAAGGTCGAAATGAAATCGATCTATAATCAATTTCTTCTATTGATTTATGATTTCTAATAGCTTTGTTATAATAATCAAATGTTGAAAAAAAGAACAACATATTCATCTGCATTGTCTTTTCATATGTGAACATATCGATTTACAATAAAGTATTTCTTGAAAGATCGGATAAAAAAAAACTAAACTCAAATATTGATATAAAAAACGTAAGCTTTTGTTATGTGATAACTTAACCGTCATTTTCTAGAATTTTCACACTTAGTTGAAACAAAAAAAACAAATTGAGATTGAAATTTTTGACGATGGAGTTCTTTTTCTTTCTTTCTTTCTTTCTTCTTTTTTCTCAGTGTAGGTCTTTTCAAATTAATATTCGTATCTTTGCTTATTTCTAATATACGTTTAAAGAATATTTTAATTATCTATTTCGTTGCTATCAACAAAAGTCGTATACTTAGAAACATGAAACAAGTAAGTCGCATCAGACGAGAAAAGAAGAATCACACAGTTCCCGTTACTCAGCGACGGGTATAGGATTGTAACTGTTATTGAAAAGAAAAAGGCGTCTGGTAACGACGTCAACATATTTTACTAGACACATATCCAAAGAATGAACGATAGACGACGAAGAAAAAAAAGAGAGAGAAAGTCTGCCTACTTTTTACCATAAACGAGAGATAATGACGTTGCCTATGATAGAGAAAAGAGTGAAAAAAAGTTCAAGAAAAAACTCTCATTTCAACTTAGAAAAAAACTCTTCTACTCCCACATTATTGTCGTTGTTATATTTCTTTAGTATCGGATCATTTTATGTCTAAATAATATAATGAACGTAAAATAAAGTAGGTTGGTCAAATTAAATGAATTAAATAGTATAACTTGTATTAATAAGCATAGAAATAAATAATATAAATTCTATAACAATTAAATATAGGAATATTTATATACCATAAAATTATAACTTTATTTTTTTTAAATAAAAATCTCGAGTTTTAAAGCTAGTAAGTGAAATTGAAAAGCAATTTTAAGTTATTATGATTTTTTTTTTCTATTTATCAAATGTAAAAATCACCTTGTCAATTATCAAGTAGCGTAATCGACATTTACTTCAATGAAAGAAGATAAGCATTCAATCAGAAATTAAAGATAGGTTTTTTTTTGTGAAACACGATCTAAAAGGAGTGTTGAAGTATAGGGAATAAAAATTTACATCAGTCCTTACAGATCGTGAAGTGCACTTTGGTAATTCTATCCTTTAAGGATATAACGGCTGTATCGTGTTTTACATTTTAATTCTACAGAGATTGTACTAAGAACTATTTTACATTATTTTGTAAAAGTTTTTATAATAAATAGAAATAGTTTATTGAGCACGAACAAAAGTATTATAAGGAATTTTTGATGCAATAAATAGTGATTGTTGATTTAATATTGATTGTCGTTGTTTTATTGATAGTTTTTCAGGTAAAATTTTATTAATAGATTGATCAAATTTTATACCAAGTAAAAATGCTAGTTTTTTAATACTATGTAGAACATGATCAAGATTAATATTATCAGCAATTAATTTTGATTGAAATAATGGAATAGTATCTTGAATAGTTGAATAATAAAATGGATCAATATAAATATGGCAAAGAAATTCTTGACGTTCTTTTTTATTCATAGAACATATTAAATCAATAATTGAATGAAATATATGAATATGATCATGATGAATGATTAATTCATGTAATTGTTCGATTGTCATATTTGAAAGATTTTTATTCAGTTGAGTTGTTCGAATAAAATTCATAAGCGATTGACGATTATTCCAATCGAGTAAAACATATTGCTTTTTATTATATATTGAATTTGTTCGTTCATTAGATGAAATATTGATTAAACTTGAATCACTATTCATAGGTTGTTTATAAAGAAAATTTATTGAAGAAATTTTTGATATTTTATCTATAAATAGTTATTAGAAAATTTTTAGTTATCAAATATTTTATTAAGAAAAAAAAATACCTGTTGAATATGATTTCTTTTTTAAATTAATCAAACATTGATTTAATTGATTCGAACATGAACATTGTGTTAAATTTAAATGACATTTCGAACAATACTTTATATTGAAACTATGTTTATCTAATTGATCAATTTTTGTTTTAAGATTATTAGATTCAGCTTTTGATGTGATAGAAATATATTTATTAAAACATTGTTTAGATATATAAGTCATATTATATGGTATTTGATATTTTTTTCGAATAAGTTGTTGTTCTTTTTGCCATCGATATCGAATTTTATGTAAACATTCATAATCATTATGTGTCATATCTATGCATGCGTGGTATGTGCGTGTTTGACTATCTGGATAATTAGATAGCAGCAAGAAGTCTAGTTTTTTTTTGTTTTGTTTTTAGTATTGTAAATTATAGATTATAATTTAAAATAATGGAATCAAATCAAGTACAAACGTATCATATTTCTCGAGCAGAACAACCTGACGATAAAGGTTAATAAATTTTTTTATAATTTTTTTTTTTTTATTAATTTCTTTTTTTTGTTTTTGTTTGTTGATAGAACAAATCGTACTTCGAGCTCTAATTGGTAATCCAAATCGGCATAAACCATTAGTACAACATCCACCACCGACTACAAACAAATCTCAAGACGCAACACCAGCACCAATGTATACACTTGAAACTCGAAATCGACCAATTCCATCAAGAGTATTGCCAAAATCAAAGGAACCAACAGTGTATTATATTGAACCTAAACGAGTTGAACAATCTTTGACATATAGTGTTCCATTGTCGAAAGAAGGTATATCATTATTTTTTTTGAATTTAGATAGAAAAAGAAAAATAATGATTTGTTTTTCAAATAATAGAACGAGATACAACACAACCTTCCGAACCAGAAGTATTGAAGAGTGTAGAACAAGAACAAGAATCTCCTCCAATTGATTTTCTCGAGCCTAAAATTATTTCACAACCTGTTCTTTACAGTGTTGTTGCAGAGAAAACTCCTTTGGTTCAAAATGATCAACCAATAACAACTAATCAAGATGTAGATTTACCTATACTTTATGCCATAACTGGTCAATCTCATCTTCCAACTATAGATATGGGTGCAACTACTTCAAATGTTAAAACACCTGTTGTTGATAAATCTCCTAATTTTTATTCTTTGGTTGGTAATCCACATATTCCAATTATAGATATGGGTGCAACTACTTCAAATGTTGAAATACCTGTTGTTGATAAATCTCCTAATTTTTATTCTTTGGTTGGTAATCCACATATTCCAGTACAACCTGAAGAACCAATATCAAAAACTTCATCATCACAATCACCACCAAACCTTTATTCAATTGTTGGTAGTCCAATACTTTCACCAAATACGTTACAAACAAACGCAGTTGATTCAACACTGTTGACACAACCAGCAGAAATTAGTTCCGTTCAATCAGAACCAGTTTTGTATACAATAGTTGATGAAAAACAAATACCAACTAATATACCAAAAGAAGATCATCTACCGCCAGTAGAACCTGTTAAAAAACAAACAAATGATTCTACTTTGTATACAGTGATTGGAGATCCTCAGATACCTCAATCAATGACACCTATTCACAAAACTCAACCAATAAAACCACAAGCATCATCACAACAAATTCAAATACCTACATTGTACGCAACAATTGGCAAACCGAATTTACCATCGACAGAAAAAATGACTATTCAACCAAAGTAATTAGATATCATATTTCATTTAATAATCATTTATTTTCTTTTATTAATTTAGACCATCTGTATCAAAGAAGACACCATCATCTACTGACGTTCGTACTAGACGAACTAATCAAAGTCTTGAACGTAAAACAGCACCAGAAGCAGTAATCGAAGAAATTACTCCTATTTCCGATACAAAAAATAAACGGCACACGAAATCACAAGGTTTTTTTAGCATAAAACTAACTTTTGAATAATAATATTTCTCTTATTTGTTTTAGAATTAAGAATACCAAAATCAGAAACCATATTTGTTCCTATTCCTGAATATGAACGTGCATCACGTCCGAAACAACTTCGAACAACTCCTCGAAATATAAGTCCTAGACAAACACATCACAAAATGTATGCGGTTCCACGTTATGAACCATTTCGTCCATCTGATTACATTTCACCATATACTTATCATCCATCAAAACCATATCGTGAACAAACATATCGTCCTAAATTATTACCTATTGTAACAAATAATTCTTCTGAACGTAAAACAAGACCACTACTTTATGAACCTCGTCATCGAGTCGAACGAAAACATCCGTATGATCCATGGACACCTCATTCTTTAGTAAGTATTTTATCTTTTTTTTTTCTTGTCATGTGTTGTTGTTTTTTTTTTTTATAAATTTTTCGATGAATAGGAAAGATATCCTTATAGTACAAAGCAACCCTCTCGTTTATGGGATTTCGAAGAACATGCTCTAACCGATGGTGATGATGATATGAATGACTCAACATCAAGTGGACGAAAAGGAACTTATCGAAGAATTCGACCACGTTCACCATGGATACCTGTTTGGTGAACAAATGAATTTTTCTTTGTTCGTATATTTTGTATAATTATGTCATTGAAATTAAAATAAAAAATAAAATTTTCAATAAATAATATTTAAATTTTTATTAATAAAAACAAATCTTATTTCATTTATAGTTTCTTTTGTTTTTTTTTCTAAGAATATGAATGTTCTTCGATGAATTTATAAATTTAACTTCCTTTCATAAATTTTTTGAATTCTAAAAGAAAGGAAAAAAAATATATATATATGACAAAAAAATTCTATGACAAAGTATATATCATTTCTTTTTTTTACCTTCAAAACTAATTCTTCCATCTTGATCAATATCAAGACGTTTAATAATACCTTGGATTTCTTGTTCAGCAGCTTCTTGTGATATACCAAGCATTTCTTGCATGGGTACATAATACTGTCTTAATTCTTGAATCGTTATTGATTTATCATTATTTTTATCAATTCGTTTAAATTCTTTTTCAAGTTGTTCGTCAGTAATATTAGCCATTGTATAATAGTAAATATTAATATGTTTATATGTTTTATTTTAAGATAAATAAATCCACTAAGATAAAAGTAGCATATTTATAGTAATAACGTGTTGTCTTAATCATGCTTCACTGATTTTGTTTTCCTTGTTTATAACTTATATTGCTTTCGTACCTTGATATATCTGAAACAAAAAATCATTACGTTAGTTTCAGATTATTCATGATGCACTTGACTGAGTTTCTTTTTTTTTTGTATAGATGAATAATAAGAGAAAATAAAATGTATCTTATTGTCATGATTAATGACAATGTTATTAGAAAAAGAACAGCAACTTATTGTAAATGAATAAGAAAATAAACCATAGGAGAGACGTCAGCTTATCTTGACACTAATCAGTTTACCATGAAAATGTTTATATGAACGTAAATAAAAAGAAAGCATAAACAAAATAAAGAGAATTTAGAAAGAAAGAAAAACTTTGGACTTTTTTTCATCAATATCAAATGCAGAATCTTGAATTGTTACATACATAAAAATAGAATCTTGTAGATCTCATGCAGAGTCATATTTGCGTAGTTTTTGTATGTCAAAATTACAGGGGAAGTATTGCAACTGCGTAAAATATATGTCTACTAATGGTGTTATCAATATTAACGCAGATCTATAAGTAAAAAAAGACGTCACACGACTTTTTAAACAGGTTCTACCGCGTGTCTTATCGACCTTTGTGATATGTGTGCTTTGAGAAATGACTAAGATGACTTTACTATGAACCATTTATTTTTATTAGCTATTAAAAATTAAAAGAATGATAATCGCTACATATATATATAGTGTTCTTTAAATTTAAAACAATTAACTATTTTTAAATATCATGTAAAAACAAATGTTTTGTGAAGTATAGTAACTGTCCAAATTATCCAACCAGTAGATAGTTATATTTTATTTTGTGTGTATCTCAAAAACTAGATCAGCTAAAATCATATAGTTTTCATCAAATTACAGACCGTATTTCTAGTATAATAGTAAAAAAAGTTCAGGTCATTACATTGAAATGTTTAACTTTTAGTGATGATACAACTGTAACGTGTTGTGTATCATCCTCTCAAAATTGTCTAACTATTTATTTTGGCAAAATTG